GAGAGAGAGAGAGAGACAACGTGCGTAAATCCGAGTTTCGCAAAGAGCGAGGCGAATCGCGAGGGAGGAAACGCTCCGAGATAAGAACTGTGTCTTACAACTAGCTCCGATGTCTTATAAGAGCGGTAAATTGAAAGGAAGTTTCAAGGACTTTTTTTAACAATGACGATAACGTGTCGGAAACAACAAGCTGTTTGCTTTCCCGAGCACGGTCGAGCTAACGTGTAATTGCTAAAGAAAGTACGGGGAGATAAGATAAGTTGTATATAGGAAGTCGCGTGACGTAAGGTTTGGAAGCGGCTCGACTAGATGATTAAGCAAAGTCGCGCGCGAGATACATCGTAAGTCAACATTCGGCATCGTCCTCTGCCGAGAGACAATTACCGGCTACGAATTCTCTAAAAGAATACCAAAAGGAGAAAATGTAAATATTTCTCATGTGTTCTGCGCATGTGACAGATAATCTCATAATCCACGAGATACGATCAGCCCATACGATCAGCCCCTCGGAGTGTATAATATGATATTATCATGATAAATTATTATTTCGTTCATTGCTCGGCAAATGTGAAGATGGGAATGGATATTGTCGACTGATACTGTTTATCAGATTACGCGTATATGACTATAAACATTATGATTTTTCATATTCTCGGAATTGTTGATCTTTATCTAGCGTGATTCTAAAAAAACAACAATTTATTAAATATACTAAGTTATAGTCTGCGCTATATAATGTTATTGGTACGGTAAAAACTCGCGTATATATCTATGTTTAATAAATTTTAACGCAACGTCAAACACAATTATTAATTTATAATCAGACTGTAATGTCAAGTTGTATCTGTACTTATTTCAGGTTTCCAAAATCCCTCCCATCTACGAACGTCCAATAACCAGCAACATTTCAGTTGAGGAAGGAGGTGTTTTTAACGTAAGTACTGTCCGATGGATTCTAAGAGAGGATCCAAGACAGTGTACCAGCTCGTCCTGAACTTGGACCGGATACTGATGGGGATGCAAACATTTCAGGTATCAAAATCATGCACCCGTCAGCAGCTTCCGTTATCTGTTACTCGTGGCGTGAGATCGCGGCCACTGGGAGATGCCACCTCGACGAAGGTGGAGACGGTTCCTCTGCTAAGCCCAACGATGGAGTCCGAGCTTCTGAAAGAACCCTGGATATTCCCGCACACAAAAGCGAGTCCTATGAAAGAAGAGGACATCGCGGCACCCTCCGCCTGGGAGGAGGACTTTCAGGATCTGAGCAGTTGGTGCATGGACACGTTCCAGGGTCAATGCGATTTTCATATAGGTGAATCGACTACATTTAAACTATCAGGTATTTACATTTATATATGTAAATAAATGAAATGTTCCACAAAATTTCTTGAATTCCCCGATCGTAATATTTGACGCGAAACATTGCTATGGACTCGTATTGTTCCAGGTACGAAATACGAGGGTAACGGCATTTCAACTTTAGAGGAGGAAGGGTTGTTAAAGGATTTGAAAGGAACGACTGATGACGAGAAGTTGGACTTGAAAATGGATACCGTTAAGACGATTAAAGAGTCAAATGACAATAGTCATTTGCTGCTATCTCCATCGGAACTCGTTAACGAATATGGATTAGGGTATAATAATGAAGAAAATAATGCATCCAGCTCATGTTTAATGTCACCCGAATCTACGGCTTCTAAAAGCACTTCATCGAGCAAACAGCATAGCCTAGATATCAGTGAGCCATTACAATCCGAAAGTCGCGATTTGGATTACGCTTGCCCGCTTACGTCACTTGACGCCGCCGCGAATCAGCGTGAAACATGGGATGAGCTACGCACGATCGAGACAACCGGATCGGACACTTTCGATTTACTGTCGTACCTTTGGGAGGTACGTTGACAAATTTATAGAAAAACATTTAGCCGCGCGATCATTAAGTGTTCTTATTTATTTCTTCATTAATGATCCTTCATTTATTTTTATTATAGGATGAAATGCGTTCATTGGAAGGCGTATCTACCGATTCCACAGCGATGATGAAACATAGACCTCTGGCGGCATCATCGCCGGTATCGTTTACTTCTACGAAGGCAAATACGAAGGAGCTCAATAAATCGACGCCACCTTCGACACGTCGAAGAATGGAGACTCGTGCAACGTCGACGGTGACCTCGTCCACGGTAAAGACTCCTGTAACATCATCTCGAAGATCAGAAAGAACAAAAGCGGCCAAAAGCAAAGAAAGGGAGAAAGTCGCTGTCACTAGTACAAAAGAGAAGGACAAAAAATGCAAGGAAAAGATATTACGAGAGCGATTCCGAGGATGATGTTATGCTCGTCCAATACAGAGAATGCCGTGAGAAGAACAACGAAGCTTCGCGAAGATCGCGGATGAATAAGAAAGTCAAGGAGTCAGAAATGGCCAGAAAGGCGATCGAGCTGGAGAAGGACAACAAGATACTGAAGATGAAGGTCGAGGAGCTAGAGAAGCTAGTGACATCGATGCGCAACGCGTTATTACAATCTGCTTTAAAGAAGGAATTTTAAGTATGCGTTATCTAATACCTAGGCATTTCTCACGAGCAGTCGCGTATAGTCTAATAAACCAGATTTATTATGTTTTCCCGTTATATCATGCATGCGCCATATTACGGGATATCTTACAAGAGTTTTGTGAATTTTACCTTGTTGAACTTATTTGCCTTAATTGTCTTAATACGAAATGAAGAAGCTCTTAAAGCCTTATTATTATCGTTATTTTAATATTTTTTTTTATCGAGAGACGTTTTTTGTTGATTTTTTATCTCGTCTCCCGTCTCGAGTATATCCATAAATATTATTATGGAATTTAATTGTTGCGACTAAACTAATCGCGAATTAGCGATAGATTAATTGTACACTGCTGCAATATGCGTTAAAAATATTTTAAAAAATGCGACGTTTGGCTTGCTGTATATCGGTACGCTGAGATATTATGTATTAAATAAAGTTTATTTTGTTATAACGTGAAAGAGAGAGAGAGAGAGAGAGAAAGAGAGAGAAACACCGAAATTAGATTTATTTTACAAGGTGTATACACACACACACACACACACACACACACACACACACGTATATGTATCTTATAAGTTACTTTGTTATATAAGGGGTACTACACGAGCGAAGAGCAGACATATGACTTGATAAATGATAATACCGTTATCGAGGAGATTTTAATCCGAACAAAATCACACGATCACATTTTGTTCAGCCTTGTATTGTACCTGATACAAAAAAAAAAGATAAAAAAAAACAGAGCATGCATATAGAAACCTATCGCAGAAAAGCGTGTAATCGGTGATGCACAGTTTTCTACTACTGGTGTGGATTCAATGATACTGAAAGATATACGTTGTAAAAAAATCAATTATAATAAAAAATCTTTATTTTGAAAAATCAACCAGAGATTCGAGCGTCGTTTTTCTGCATGCGTACAAATAGCACTTGCAGCCGTACTGCAAATAGCGACGGTTTAAAAATAACAAAATACCCTTTGTGACTCATTCCTCTTTTTGTGCACGCTACGTCTATCGACGAGCGGGACGAGCAGTCCCATGTCGTTTCGCGTTAAAAGTCACGCGAGACATTTCTTATAGATCGTTCGCCGATCATAATTAGAGTATAAATGATCATCGGGAACACGCACATGTGTCGATACGCAGATGAAACGCCACGGCGGAGTGTTCTCGCGGGAAAATTGCAAAATCAATAGAGTCCGTGATGTAGGCAACAAACGGACTGCCGGCTGAACATTGTACACTGTCGTGCGACACGCAACAATGCGCGTCATAATTTTATTCAGAGCCTAGACGGATCCGGATAATTCCTGTCACGGCGTGCGACCCGCGCTTTCTCAACGGGGATGAAGCGGCGGGTGAAGGAGGTAAGACCTCTTTTGCTAATTGAATATCCGGCGCCGCTAGACACACGCGCGGGGCCCGCGTGTCCTCCGCGCAAATTGCGTGTCGCGATACGCGTCGCGAATTGGTATAATTAAGCCGGCAGGCTGGGGAATACAGAAACTCGATGATGGTTCGCACCTGTGAACCAGCCGACTCTCTTGCCGCTCATTTTCCCATCTTTCGTTCCCATAGCACATTTGTTGCCGCGCTAGATACGACGGTGACTGTGCGGTTTTGATACTTTGTTTACAATAAATAAATAAGCGTGTTACGTCAGATAAGCTTAAACTTGTGTATCATGTTTTGGCAAGACCAAGTGCCAAAGAGATATATAAAAGTCTATATAAAGGTGCATATAAAAGTCCCCAACAAAGCTGCATAAAATATTTTATGCAGTGCGCTGTGTAACTGTGTATTATATATATATATATGTGTATATTAAACTTGGCCTTTCGCCTCTACAAAGATATATCGAAGCATTTGAATTTTAAATTTTTTAGTGAATAAAAACGAAACTTTGCAAATTGTCTTTTTTCTGCCAACGTGACGGGACACTATCCTTTTCTGTTTACGAAATTTTCCTTCGGTTTTTAGTTTAACGACGGTTTAATATTAAAGTTAATATTTAATATTAAAACTTAATAGTTGTGAGAAAAACGTCCTCTTTCAATAAGGAAAAGCCGGCTCGAAAGAAAAACGACATAATTGCGACATCCTGCATATCGGACGGACGGAAAGAAGCGACAAAGTTCAGGAAGCGTAACCGAACGAGCGGGCTCATTGTAGGAAATATTGGCGTTTTCATCGGTCGTTAAATAATCGCGGTTAAATACCTCGGGATCAAATGCATACTTCAGTGCGTTCAGCCGCGAGTGCGTGCATCGATTGCCCGCATTGCTTTCTGCACCCGCATACCGTTAGGTCTGTTAGTCTCTACCATGCTATTATTACCAGATTATTGCCACCGCACGCCGCCGCATTCGATTCCACTTTACAAATCGAAGCACAAACGAGTCGTTTTTCTCTTTGAACGCTTCGAAAGAGCACTCGAAAGAGGCTTCCTCAAGAGAGCTACGAAAATAAAAAGGATAATATCGGGAGCTTATCAATCGGAAGTAATCGCGAATCGAATTCTCCTTCTGACTTTTGCGATTTTTCTCTTATCACCTTATCATTCCGTCGCTGAAGTTCCAACAATTATGACGACCCAGTTTTCTTTTTTCCCCCCTTCGCAGACGCGGAACGTCTTTCAGCGGTAGCGAAACCAGGGCGGTTCCACGCACTTTTAAAAGTCCGCTCGGCGACGCGCGTCACGACTGATAAGGCTGCGCGCGCATCGCGGCCGTTCACTGTTCAACCGATAGCTCAGTACGCTGGTAACAGGTGGTTCGTCGCTATTGGTGGAACGGCGGCGATTGAAGTGCCTTACGGCGCCAGCACGTGCGGCATGCGGCCGCCGGTGCGCGGTCTCGCATTCATTCTCGCGGAGAACGTCGTGCCGCGCGCATCTCGTCGGACGGTGGTATCCCTACGGCCTGGCACACCCTGCCGTTTTTTCAAACGGCAAGCAGGATCGTCATTTCCGGCGCTACCAGCCGGAAATCGACGTGCCGGTGCTCGGTGCTTGCGTGTATATGCGTGCGCGTTTGCAAAACAGCCGGTTCCACGCGCGATTGGCAACTCCGAGACAACTCGTGAGTGCGGGTGTTGGCTATCGATCCCACCGGTCCCGCTTTCTTCCAGCGTTCATTGGCGCAGCCGTCGTCGCCGGGGCTGCTGCCGCCGCTGCTGCCGCCGCTGCCGCTCACGATCAGTATACAAGTGTTGTGCCTTAACGTAACATACTTAGAGAATTAGCCTCTGTGATTCCCCCGTCAACGGAGGTCAACGAGAGAGAGTTCCTTCGTCCGCGTCTTTTATCCGGTGAGTAATGACCACGCGCGCAGCGATTCCTCTCTCTTCCTCGCGTCTCCTTTTTTTCTTTTTTTTTTTCCTTCCTCTTTCTCCTTCTTCCCTCTTTTTCAATCGTCGATCTCTTCTCGTCGTTCTCGCATCGCACGCCGGTACCGCTACTCGGCGCGCACAGACAGCCGGATGCGATCCGGTGCACGTGCACGCGCCGCGCCGCGCCGCCGTGCCGGCGGTCCGTTCCATCTGGTGCGCTCCGATTACAACGACCGGATTTATTATCGCGCCCAGGGACCACCACGCGCACCGCTGGGCGTGCGGCTATCCGAGAACGTCGGACACGATGAGTTCCCGGGAGATTCTCGGCCGTGAGATCGAGGCGAGTAATGCGGCGGGCGCGCGGAACATGCAACTCCTGGCCGCCGATCGATGGGCCTCGCGGGATGAATCTCCCGCGGCATCTCGAGGGCCGAGTCATCTTTTATGAAAGCAGAATATCGCGTGCTCGTATCGAGCGCTTATATTTATTATTGTTACCGTTTAAATGGGTTTATATTCTACCGTGATTTTTCGTTGACGTCACGAGCGTGCGAGTCACGCGTATCAAAGTTGAAGTTTAGTTCGCGGAACTTTCCTCGCGTCTGTAGCGTGAGGTTCTCTGAAAATAGTATTTATAAATTTGACGTTTCGTTACCGCGTTTCACGTGCTCGTCGCAGTTGTGCGACGGAGAGAAACTTGCTTGCGGGTCCCGTACTCTCGTCCATCGATACCTTTCTTTTTCTCTCCGGAAATACCAGTTTTGATTAACATCGATTGCTAATGTGGAATCGTACGCGCGTCGAAAGGTCGGTCGAATCGAGCCAGACGATTGCATTGGAAGTGACATTTGCGCGAACGAGACGTTATTTTTCTCTCCGAGAAAAAAGACTGTAGGAAATTAAAAATAAATATATAGTGGGATAGAATGTGCGCGAAAATTTTTGAAGAGATTGAAAAGATAAACTTTTGAAGAAAACACGCGCATAACCGATGATGTTTGATATCGTTTATCAGTGACCTTCCGCCGACGATTTATTCGTGGAAGTAGCGAAATAGATATCTTCGGAAATAATTTTCAAGTGACTTCAATATAGCGATATCGTGATACGGCGCGTGACATACGTGACGCAAACATTAAGTAACGAATTGTTACGTTATCGTTATGAACAGAAATGTTTGATGCGACGCCTTTTATGAAAGAGCGAAATCTGTCATTTCGCGTTGACGTGAAATGTGAAATTTAATCTCATTAGCAGACGCTTGGAATAACTCTCGAAGACATGCTTGAAGGGAGAGAGAGTAGAATAACTGTATTTACATCGTTCATTATAATTAACATTTTGTTATATAACTGTTTCGCATCTATGTGAAATGATGCATCTACGTAATATATGTATGTAGGATTATTAAGAGAATCAAATGCGCGATATTCTTTTGATGATTATCCTCGCGATTACATTCCGCGGCACGATCGACGAACGAATACGTCGAAGCGTTTAATCCTCGTAACATCAGCCATGACGTTGCCATGCCGTGTAACATCAACTTTCAACAGGAACCTCCACATAGAGACTGCTTAATTCCTTATGCATGGATAGTTCTTTTTTTTTAACGGGTTAATTCATTATAGTGTGTAAAGAAAAAAGACATCTAAGCCTACGGTCGTAAAGAGAGAGAGAGAGAGAGAGAGATCAGATTTTAGAGGAGAGATTTATGCCGCGTATGGCGTAACAAGAAGTTAATTTCTTTTCCCGACGTTGAGCGAAACTGTTTGGAATTCTCCGCGTAGTCTAATAAGTTTCCTCCGCTGTGATTTTCTGGACGATTCTGGACGTCTGTTACATATGTGGGAAGTGATTCAATTGAACTTCATACTCGAAGATACCCCGTCGTACTCCAAGATAACTCTTGATATTTCTTTATCTGAAGATTTATTTTTACCTATCATAAAACTATAAAAGATTCAGAAAACATAATTCATTCGAATATATAGCCGGTTTTTTACTATCGCGTTTGTTTGAAAAAAGAGCTGCGGATACGGGATGATGACAGATGGATAGGCGCACGTGTAAAAACAGAGACGAGATTACAAATTAGTGTACATAATTATAATCCAGCCCAATATTTCGTGTTGTCACTTACATTATCGTATAACAATCGAAGCAATTCCTCTTTCTCTCTCTCCCCTCCCCCCCTCCCATCTCTCGCTCTCTTCATCTATCTGTCTGTCTATCTCGCGACTGGTATACTTAGCCCATGAAGACAGGTCCATTGAACTCGTTAGAAGATCGCGGCCTGTAATACATGCTATGCTATCATCCCGTAATATAGGACAAAAGGCATTAAACGCAAAATCGGCCGCGACAGATAATACGACACGCGCGATATCGCATACGGCGCTGAGGTCACGGATGCACACGTGCCTGTGTGTGCGCGTGTGCGTGTAAGTCGCGTCCGTTTATCGATATTCTTCTTACCGGATCCTGTCAGCATCGGACATCCGGTTGGATCTCCTAATGACACTTACACCTTAAACCTTCCCTGCCTGTCTGTTAATCGAGCGAGACTTGCCTATACTTCACTCTATCGCACAGCCACGCGCTCTGCCTCTCACTTCATCCTTCTTCATCTTTATTTACATGCCGCAAAAGTTCGCGATATTATTCTTAATCTATCTGTCGCTCTTCTTCGATCTAATTTTAACTGAATTGCTGAATGTATTTTTGAATTTATTTTTTTCCACTTTCCGTGAACAGCAAGATTCTATTTTAAAATCTTAAAAGAAGAATTTTGATATTAACACGTATACACATGGAATATCTATCACAGATCTCAAGATCTTAATTAATGTAATTAAATAATGCGCTGTATATCCGCGAGTCTCTCTTCAATTTAATAAACAAGAGGAATAATTAACAATATCCGTAATAATTTCGGGTCACGAGATTACGAGATAATCTTTGGTTTCAGATATCAAGAGACTTGTGAGTTTATCAAAGAACGGTGGATCCTTCTCGTGGCGACAGCATGTCGGCGGTTTAATTTCCTTCGTCCTTCATGGGCGAGTACCATGTTCCTCTGACCTGACAACTTCTTGCACTATCCGGAAAGCTAAAGGAAACGAAATATCATGGCGTTCTACGACGTGGGAGCGGGCGACCTCAAGGAATTGTGGGAGTCTTATATCTCCGAAGCGGTGAGTGCGCAACTTATATATATTTATAAATATATTTATTTATATAATTATATATATGTATATAAAATTATATAAATAAATATATTTAAAGTTTTTATATATATATAAAAATTTATTCTTAGGAACAGACTTTATGGAAAAGCCGAAAATTTTTAAGAAAAAAACAAACATATTGGTTTTTCAAAATTTTCTTTAAAAATCGCTTCAAATATTCACGATTCATCGCTTCAACATTATATACCATTCACCGAATTTGTTGCGCCTATGACGCACATTGTACCTTCTCGCGAAAGTGTTCGTCTCTACAATCTCGAACGAAAGGAAGCTCCGTTGGAAACGTAGGGACGCCTACGTTCTTTTGAGGGCCGTACGTCCGCAATCCTCCGCGTATTTATTCGAATATTTATGTCAGATCAAAAGAGATGATAGGCGACGGCCTATCACACTGTATTAACTGAAAACGCAGTGAAGTATATATTTTTAAATAGCAAATAACTTTGTTCGCGTTATCTATCGTGTTGTAGATAGAAATATACGTGGAAATATATGGTAGTTTATAAAAAAATATTTATTTTACAGCACTATTCCCAGAAGTTTATAAATTTCGTTTTATTTATATATTTTATTTACATATAATTTATTTACATCACGTTTAATAAATTTATCGACTAAATGTCATTGAAAAATACATTCATTTCTGCCTTTTTGCATATGTCTTCGCGATAACTACAACGTTTGACAGTTAGAGACGTCACATTTGCAATTTTTTTAATTTTTAAAACGATACCTATTTTAATTAAAATACAATATTGAAATATATCGCATTGAAAACACATTTTATTACAATAAATTCTGATTTGAAGGCGAATTACTTTTTTTAACGATGTATTTCTTTCCGATCACTCGCAATATTTTTTTTAACTTAATATCCCCAGTGCAAAGAAAGTACATGACAGCTTATGAATTATGAATAATAATGGCCGCATATATTCACATATGCGTCTCGCATATTGTCATTTATCATTGCGCTTATGGTGACACGGTTGCGACTTGCGCCAATTAAGCTTAAGGGAACGAGGAAACCGACAAATTTACATGATAGCGCCACATCGGACGTCACAGCTTCGATAATTCTTCCACCAGTCGCACAATCGTCACGTCTATTCTTCGCCGCTCTCACGTATCTATCTACCGTCCCGACGAACACGACGGAAACTATTTTTCATCGTTCGTTGCATTCGCGACAGCAACAATGGCTTCGCACATGCTCCTTTCATTCTCGCAGCGTGCGTTCTTGTCTCTTCGATCGGCGCGTAAAATGGGACACGGTCGCAATTCCTCGGTCCCTTTCACGTCAGAATTTTCTTTCCGCGGCACGCGAGGGCCGACCTCGTCGCATCGCCGACAAATTAATCCTAATCATTAGACGCGTCGCGTCTCCGTCGTCATTACGCCTCGGCGTCGGCGTCTTTTCTCGCCGGCGAATAAATGCCAATTCGCATGCGGCCGCTGCCATTTTACGCTTCGCGCCGCGTTGGATGTGTACTTATTATTAGTTATTGTTCCTCTTATCGGCCGCCCGCTAGCTTCACGTGTTCGCCAAGTAATTTCGCAGGTCCCCGAAGCGACGACGCAGCTACGCCGGTATTTTTATCGTTTCCTAGAAGGTCAGCAATACACATGACCAATCCCAAGTTGGAAATAAATTCAATCGTCAGTCAATGCGGCGGATACCATCGTCTCGCGGACGACTCGAATTAATTTCATCTCACCGGTTTGATCATCGTCTTCTTCTGTTGCACAACAACGATAACGACTATTATCTTCTCACATCTTTTCACAAATGCATTCGAATACGTTCATTCGAATACATTCGAATGTATCGTCACAGTTGAGTTGCGCCTCGCAAACACCTTGATGGAAAGATTAGCGCCACTCGAGCGCGTACTCGCGGCATTATGTAGCCTATGTATTTGGGCAGTAAAGTATTATAATAAGTTTGCGCACCTGTGCAAATAATTCTCGCATCGTTTCTACTAACTAAATACTCATAGGCGCACATCTCTCGCGAAGATTATCCATCTCGATTATCGTTGCCGCCCGTATGTACAGCCATTAATACACCACCAAACGCGAAACGTAGGAATACACTTTTCGAAACATCGAGCAACGTTTCTCCTTCTGTATATCCTAATGTATATTTAACGACGCTTCTCGTGAGGATTTCCCAGAGAATTATCGAAACTATTAATATCTTCGGGAAGTTCGTCTGCGCGATACGTTATTCCCGGTACTCTAATGTATTTTTAAGATAACAGATTCTTTTTAGCTCAATAGACGCGGGAAAGCACGAGCTTGCGACTTGCAGGAAAACACTGATAAGATTCAATGGAAATGTTTACTGACTTTCTCATGCGCATGCTAGTTTGTAGTGTGCAATGTGCCTGTACTCGAAAGAGCCTTGCGGCTCTACGTTCAGCCTCTTGTCGCGCAAGAGGCTAAGAGGTGGACAATCGTACTTCTGTATATATTAATTACAGTTTTATCGATCGCGGCCTGTCACATATTCATTTTCGCAGACCCGCTTTCCAGACGACCTAAAAACTGGCCCCAGCAAACGTGACGTTTATCGCTGATACGTATGTTTACCTCATTGAATAACGATGACGCTTCGTTACACTCTCATTATTTACGAGGAATGACTTGTGTAACTTGTTTGGATTGTTTGAAAATAAAAGGATCAGAGTTAACATAATTTTAAAAGAGTAACGTAAGCGCATCTGTACATATTATTACTTCTCAATTCAGTCGAAAACTCTCGCTTGCTTAATATTATGACTAGAGCTGTGCGCAAATATTTTCTCTTTCTCTCTTTCTCTTTTGTCTCACTTATCCGAATTCGCTGAACAGCATAAAAAAATCTGAACGCTGATGTCGACGACGAGTATATTATTTACATGGCGATTGTTCGAGTTTGATTCCTCTCGAATTTTCAAGATGTGCTCGATTATTTCTGCATAATAACGAGTTATTAATATGCATCGATTCGACACGGCGTGGCGACTGCCGAGAGCGTCGTAATAGAAATTGAAAGGCGAATCGGCGCATGCATGTCAATGCTGTCTCATCATATTTGGGAGGGTCAGTCCCCTTTGGCAGGGATTACGTCAGGCAACGGACAGCTCGTCGCGCGTGCAAATACCAGCCAATAAAACCGTTTAAGCTGATACGGGCGGATACCTCGAAGGAAAATCAAGCGGAATTTCGCGCGTGCTAAATGCGATTGGGCGCGGATTAGAAACCGCGATCGGGCGCCCGCGAAACGCCCGCCGTTTCCAACATTAGAGGCGCATTAAGCTGACTTTAATTCGCCGCTCGTAATGAATCATCCTAATTACCGATTATCGCTAGCGCCAGATATTAAAAATATCGATCTCTCGCTCAGCCGACTTTCCTCTCGTTAAGTAATAAAAAAAAAAAAAACGAACGGCGATTGCCGCCGGCGCGAACGAGATTGATCAAGCGTCATTACGCGGAAGCGAGCGACAAACAACCGGCCGACGCGACGCGGCGTAGAAATGCAAACGCAAGCGAGTGTTTGCAATGCACCGGCAGCGAGCGATCGATGCAGATTCTGAAATTCCGCGCGGCAAATCAGAAATCGATCGTTACCGCAGACTTTTTCGCGAAGAGTCGGTATAAACCGATACTGTTGCAATACATTTTTTTTCTTTTTTTTTCTTTTTGTTTATTATGAGGTAACACAGCTGCAATTAATTCGTTATCTGTTACGTTAAAGAACACTTGTCCCGATAAACATTATTACCTTGACAATGTATGTCGTTGTGTTATCTCAAAGGAGGGCTTATTTTTAGTATTTCTACTGGACAATGATATTTCATTTATGAATTTATTATTTTATTAGTTTCGTTCGAGTTTGTTTTTCGTATATTTATTTTTATTGTAAATTCGTATTTACGGTGCCAATGTCAATCGTTTACATAAAAGGATCCAAGTGATCAAAGTAACGTTTCTACGTTATTGGAAATGTAGGGCGTGCAAAGTAATTTCGCTGCAACATTTGTAATCGTGTCTAAGCTCGTATATTTTGCGGTTTTTTTTATCGTGAGCGGTATAAAGCAATTTTCCTCACTCGTTTGTCGTGCTTGCGCAGGTGCCACTGACGCAAGCAAGTGTTGATAGCAGCAGTCTTCGCGTTACACATCGGAGCCTTGTATCGAATTGAATACCTTGCAGTTGCTCGTGGGGACGTGCTGCTTCATTAAAGAAAAAAAATTGACACAATTTTTTTAATTGATACACAGATTCGCGATGGCGATAAAATTAAATTACCGTTTACGAAAGTGTAATATCATAAATCAAACAAATATTGTGAAAGTATTTTGGAAAACTTAGACGTAGTCACGCTCTGATAGGAAAATTATGCTCCGAAGTAACTGACGTTCTAAACAAAAGTGAAATCACAGATTTTTATCACACATTCATAAATTATTACGGTATTAGGCGTTTTATTTGAACATTTCTCAGCGTGACATTAATGTAAAAATTGAATATCGAAAGCCCTCCCGATGGGAAAGCTTTCGTTTCAATCAGTCTCCTGAAAGAAAGCACAATGGAAAATACTTCAAAAATAATTTTCTTACAGTGTAACACAAAAATATCGATTGTATCAACACGCGCGGGAAAGAAAAATGTCGCTGATACGTTGTTATCATAAACAAAGGGTATTATATTTCCTAACAGAAACAGGAAGCGTATCGATATCGTAATTTCTTGTTTCCATCATCATTTTATCGATCACACAATATTATTTTACCATATCGATGTTTTTTTTAAGTATGAATTAAATAAATCAGTGTAGTAAAATAATAAAACTAAAAATGATTAGATTATTTAAATAAAAAAAATCAACGCTAATAATTAATTTTAATAAAAAAAAAATAAATTACTATTTGGACGGTAAACGATTATGTGACCGT